CTTAAAGGGGAACATTTTCCACCTTTTTATCTGAATATCCAATCAGAGAGAAGGTGTTATCTTGATGTGAATAAAAAACAGAACTTGATTGTTCTTTTCGCTTGTATTGCAAACTAATTTTTGCACGCAATGCATCGTGGTAAATGTAGTAACTTCCGCCTTTCTCTGCAAATAAGGATATATTGCTTTAATCACCTTTATTTTCCTCTACCACTTAAGGTTGCTTTATTTATTACTTTTCTTATTTGTGCTTCTCGGTGCCAATCAAATATTATAAATATGGTCCCTGCCTCAATGTATTTTTGAGTCAAATAAAATAAGAATAAATAAACCTTTATTGGTCCTCCTAGGCAAATATAGGTGTCATAGCAGAAAAAGCAATAAGATAATTAAAGACTGTATGAGTAAATCAAATAAGAAAGGTCAAGGACTGGGACTTCTCTACAAGAAAGGGCTGCACGATTAATTTACAGGATCTATTTGTTTATTTTTATCAACCAAGAGTAAGTGACATGCAGTAAGTGTTTTAGTCTCCTTTGGATGTTAATCCAGCAGAGGGATCAGGTGGAGAAGCCACAACTTCATCAGAGTGTGTGGGGGTCAGGGGCTAATGGCACGCTTCACGGCAGCTCGTATATGAGCAACGCCATGTAAATACGGAGATGTGCGGACCTTAATCTCTGGCTGGAGAACCATCAAGAGAGAGCTGACACTAGTATCAATATAAACCTGTTAACAGTAGGAAGTTAGGTGGGACATTTGTTTCATTTGACAGACTTCAAAAAGTCCGATTGTATACCTCATCTTGTTAAGACACACAATGTATTCAAACACAGCTGTGGTTAAAAGGGATCCCCTGTAAGAAATAAAACAGGAGTGACTCGAGGTGTTTCTGTTAGAGCAAAAATAATCTTACCTTTGTGTCTGAATTCTCAGGAATGCCCAAGCTTTTATCCTCCTGCAAGTTTATAGAAGCGATTCAGGTGCAGGAAAATGTATACAGTATATGCTGGGAAATGATTCCCCGGAGACTGGACTACACTTTCATGGAGCTGCAGGGAACGAGAGGCAGAGAGAGGGAGGGCTGTAATCTCTCCCGATCCCACTTAATCCCGGGCAAGTGAGCCGACTGCCTCTGCCCACCGGAAGCCAAGTCCTCCCTCACCGGCTGGCTTGTTTGCTGCCAAATCTTCTTAACTCTTTCAGCTTTCAGCGGCATGCAGGAGGAGGGGACCCTGAACAGAGAAGGAGAGAATCCAGGTGACACCATGAAGGTCCTGCTTCCAGTTCCTCGAAAGGGTCCGAGTTAGAGATGTGTAATTTAGAGGTTGAGTAAAAAGAAAAAGCCTTTAGTCTGTAATGAAAAGATCTGCTAATCTGCCACTACAGCTGGAGTTAATGGAGAGTAGACAGCAGATAAAGTATCTTTTAGTCCCTTTACTTAAAAGCTGTCAGGAATGGGGGTAATCTCCTGATTGGTAATCTTATTCCCAAGGAAATACAACAAAATCTCCCTCCATCTGAAAAGACTGAGATGCAATTAAACACTCAGCTATGTTGATTTCTCTCACCCCCAGGACCCTCATTGTTGTTTACTTATTACATTTTCCTTAATGTTTTTCAGCTATGGAGCCGAAAACTGACTTTTTTCTGCTGTATTCTGCTTAAACTTTATAATATTAAAATATGTTCTCACCTGAAGGACAATTCGTCACCTGGGTTATGTGTTACCTTTCTTCGCACCACTACTGGAGCCCTGAAACTGACAACATCTAGAACAAGTTATTAGAAGAGTCAAATAATCAATAATATTAAAGCTAGTCAAAGAATAGTTAAAAAGAAATATATTTTACAACCAGTTAATGGATTCATTTAAAAAAAAACATAATACAATTAAGTGATATTACGTCTGTCACCCACCCTACATTTCCAATTTTCCTTATGTAACGAAAACAATTATAATAAGGAGAAATTATGAAGATATTTTGTGATATTCGCTGCAAAACAGCTCAATTTTTACACTTTAGGAGGACTGCAAATAAGTATCTATAATTGTTCAAACATCAAGCCTACAAAATAGTGTTAACTGTGAGAAGCAAAAAAGTCATCAAGCTGGAAGCAGAAAAGGCTTAGCAACAATTCAATTTGGATTATTGTTGCATGACAATTTGTAGGAATAAAACGGTAAGAGCAGATTAGGTAGCAACATCCATGGAGTAGTTTATTGCCCTCTGTAAGTATTTACAGGTACAATACATTGTAAAAGACAAACAAAGTGGGAGTCAGCCAGCTCAAACACAAAATGTCAACTAGTAAACATCAAAGTGAGAAAACAGTCATTTGAACACAGAAGGAACATTAGATCTGTGCGCGGCGTTTTGAAAAGTAAACATGTGTCGAGGACATGAACCCAACATGAGCTTATGAACACAAATCTTCAGTTTATATCGATAACCATTCAGAGCGGGTTTAAAATAACACTTCATGTATTTGAGTCAGTTAACCGTTTCCATAAACGAGTAGTTTGGTTGAAAGTCAGTTTTTACGTCAATTGAAAATACAACTTTATCCTTCGACATTTAAAAAGGTCACACATTAACACTGAATACTGAACAGGAAGTCATGTCTCTCAGTTAAATAAAGAAGTCTCTGGGTGATTTCACAACAGAGGAATGTTTTTCTTTTTGCCTCAAGTGTTGCATTTTGGGAATTAAATCCTTGAAGAAGATCGTCAGGCACAAACGGTCTCAGCAGAAAAGAGCTCAAACCATGGAAGAGTCTTAATAATATCCTAACAGTTCGAAAGCTCTGTCTTCAACATTCCCAAAGAACACGCTTCTATCAGATTAACAGCCAAAGATGAACGTTTTTAGTTAAGGACATGCAGCTTTCAATTCAAATCATTTTTTCGCCCGCTTTCCGTAGATATTAATAATCCTCTGGGGAAAAGAGCAGCTTCACCTAAATGTATCCCTTTAAAACGAGGCTTCTGATCCGCGGGCTTTGCAATTGTTAAACCATGTGAGAAAACAAAAGCCATGATATTAAAAATGATGGCTGGGATCCCTCTGAATCCCCTCTTAAGCCCTTTCATAAACTCACATGTGTGACGCATATCACAAATAAGCGACATTGTCTGACAGTTCGAGCTGTAGTTTCCTGATTGATGTGCCAATTGTTCTCCCTGCCTGTAATGAACACCGTCACAAACAGTTCATACAAACTCTTATGATTCATTTCAGGGCGATGAGTGTCTCCCAAAATATATTTTTCTCTTGGGTTTTAGTGGGAATAAAGGGGATGTGAAGCGACCTGCAGTTTACTAATTCAACAACATTACATGCATTGAGTGCATAAAACATGTTAGCATTCATTCATGTTAATTATGGCAACCCTGTTTCCAGCTTTCTGCTTTAAAAAGGATTATTTGGCTTCAGAAAAAGGAGGATTTTTGCTTCATATGAAAGGAACACTTACTTGTTAAAACTGAGAAACATATGCGTGTTGCTTTAAGAATCACATGTGCCATATCTTCAACAAGTCCTGGTTGTGATTTATCTCGTAGAAACTGTCAGTGTTTGTGGAGATAAATGTTTGGGAAATCGGAGTCACTGGTTGGCTGCCAAAAAAAAGGGACTTAAAGCCGGCTAATCCAGCCACTAACTGTGTTTAAGGCTATTCTGCTGCCACTTGGTGTAACAGGAGATGTCATTTTAGAATGATAGCCAAGCCAGTTTATGTTGATGATACAGTATCAAACAGAGATACTTGTAAAAAGATAACCGGGCGAGCATTTGATAAACCATCAAGTTATCCTTGGGGTCTATTCTCTTGTCAAACGGTTTGAAAACACTTAAAGCATGAATCACATGTACGTCAGTTGTTGAAGTTTGTTTTGTGTTGGTGGAGGAAATTGAGCTAGCTGTAAACATATCGATGTCCCGGACGCTTCGTAAATAGTGTGTCAGTTTCTTGCTTTCAAGGGATTCACTCAGATAGTAAGTGGCTGAAACACTGGAGGTTAAAAAGGAACGTTGTCTGTGCCATAAAGTGTTTGTTTCATGCTGAAAAATAGACGTATTTCACAGAAGAAAAATAGGTGCCATATCTCACAGTGTGCAGAGAAACTCAAGAGCCAACTTGGTCCATTGGCACTGAAAAGAAAAATCGTTCGAGATTGAATTTCCTCCGAGGTAACAACGTCCCCTTCCTCAGGATTCCCCACAGGAAGTCAGTCGGACCGGTTTAAACAGGACGGCATGTAGTGGCTCAACACACACAATATTCACATTTCCATGATCCATCAGAGGGTAAAAAAAGAAAAGAAAAAGGAGACTGTGTGCCCGTCTCCATGACAGCAGCAGATGGAGCTGTGGGCAACCTGTTCATTTGATCCTTCGCTTCCCATTGGTTGGTGCTCCGGTCCGTCATCCTGAAGCCTGGCTGATCCTGGCCTGGAGATTGTGGGTTGGGACAGCAGGAAGTTTACGCCCAATCATTTCTTAGGTGATCTTCTCATGCTGGATCTGGTAGTAACACGCCTGAAGGTGGAGAAGACACTTTTATTCAGTATAAGAGCCATTTCAAATACATATAATAATTACTGGGGTAGAGAAGAAAATGATAGTTTCCATGGTAGTACATTTCTAAGAGAAAGAAACTCAGATTAAAGTAGTTCAATTACAAAGATAAACTCTCACATTAAATAGTTTGATATTTTTATTTCTATTAAATTAACCTCAGAAATCTAAGAATTGTTTGCATAAATGTACAACCTAAACATGTACTTACAGTGTGCGTGTGTGTGTGTGTGTGTGTGTGTGTGTGTGTGTGTGTGTGTGTGTGTGTGTGTGTGTGTGTGTGTGTGTGTGTGTGTGTGTGTGTGTGTGTGTGTTACCTTGAGTGTGGTGAACATGATACCGTGCTCTCCGTGCTGCACGCAGGGGTCCATCAGGTCTTCAATCAGGCTGACCTCTGACCCCAAATTTCGGATTCTTAGGATAAAACATGCATTTCATCAGATTCTTTAAAACTGTTTTTGGAACCACACTAAACAAAACAGCTCCGTAGCAATGTAGATACAGTATATATAAAAAGTAGCAGATTATGAATTGTTTGGTAAAAGCCTGTGTGTTTTCTTTCACTATCTACATTGACTCTTGGCCTACAATAAAACAAATGTCTCTGTTGCCTCATCATCATATTATGTGTGTATTAGTGTGTGATTGGGTTTGTTTGGGCGCTGACCTTGCGCGCAGCACCACGTAGAGGAAGACGGGGAAAAGGTCGTCCATGGACCACAGGAAGTCCTGCTTCAGCAGCGACTGCACGGCCTGAGTGATCTCCTCGAAGGTGAGCTGGATCACCTGCAGCTTGTCTGACGGGGTGAAGGTTGTGCTGCAAACAAACAAGAAGTATAGATTTTAAAAACAGCAATTTAGATGTGATTTTAACTCGGTTTTAAAGTTGTTCCGTACCTGATCTGTTGGAGTGTTTCCACTGCCGAGGCGAAGCAGGCGTCCTTAGTGCTGGACAGGACCTGAAGGCCAGAAATACCTTTTATTAAATTGTTACTAAAATACTTTGTCAAAAAATACTGTATACAAGGTTTCTACAGCTGAGGGCAGGTTTGATGAAGGATTTTGAATTATCCACTCAGACCTACTTTTATTTAGTTTCAAAGGTTTCCGTTATCCAGCTCTGTGTTCATTTTTAAACAAATTGCTTTAACCCATTTTTTTGTATTCCTCAATGCAAAGTCAGAAGAAAAATAAATAATAAAATGCTACTTCCTATTATTTCTTAGCATTTGTATGGCCGTCTCTTTTAAATGGAATGTCTTAAACTCTTTTAATAATAAATAATAATAATAATAAGCGCTTTTCTTAATGCTCAAAGATACTTTTTTAATTTTTTGAGGATCCGTGGGAACCCTGCTATGAGCTAGGTATGCAAAGTGACTTTGGATTTGAAATGAACATTTATTATTTTAGTGATTCATCTGCAAATGTTATTCTAGATTAATGGATTATCTGTTTCGTCTATAAAATGTAAAGAAATAGTGAAAAAGGGCTCAACATTACAAATGAACATTTCAGAGATTTAAAATACTCTCTTTACTTTCAAATATTCCTAATAAAGAAGCTGGAACCAGGGATATATTTAAATGCTCGATCAAATGTGTGACTTGATCTTAAGGTAAAAGTGAAGCAAGTTGAACCATACCTGCTGCTTCTCTGCCAGTTCAGGCATGGACGTGGGAATGGAAACCGGCCAGAACTTCCTGCGGACAGGAAGTCATTGTTTAGGGGTTTACATGCATTTCACTCTTTATTGTATGTTTATCCAGATTGTGACGTACTGCTGGACCCCGAGGAAGGCGAGCAGGGCGAGGTCGGGCTGCTTGTTGAGGCGGAGCACACACTCCCAGTACACGTCGTCCTCTTTCTCCTTGTCCAGAGCGTAGAGGGTGAAGAGGGGGGGGTAGAGGCGAGGAAGCAGGACGGGGAGCAGCAGAGCCGAGCTGCTCGCCACACGGCTGAGGAGGAAACACACAGGAGGGTTTAACAGAGTCCTTAAAGAGGCATACACTCTGAAATAAGGCCTGTGGTTTGCCCCGTCCTTACCCAGGTTTAGGTGACTCTAGATGGGCATCGCTGGAGCCCGGCTCCCTCTTGTCCTGGAGGTTGGTGGTCGGCTCTGGAATTAGACCGCCCTCTTCTGGCAGGTCTGGGAATAAAAACCTGCAGAGCACACATAAGCACACTTAAACCTATCCTGGTTAAATAAAGGTAACATTCAAAATCTAAATAAAATACAACATGCATGTTTTAAACGCAAAATCGGTCATTTTCCAGCCCTACAGGTCATTTAAAAAACAATATGATAAGATACATCCTTCCACCGGTTATAAATATAGTGTGAAAAATGACTAAGATATACAAATTGTGTGGAAAAAATGTGGTTTGAAAGCGGGAAAAAAATAATTTATGACAGCTTTTGGCTAAGAACAAACACGACACTGGCATTTGGGCAAAGGAGATATAATGCAATTTTAGGAGACCTAATAATTTGCCTGATTAGAATAAAAAGTGTCTTTGGGTTTGAACAGGGTTTGTAAAGTTCACAACTCAACAACATAGGTCTATGTTTTTTACACATTTGAATGCTCAAGTGTTAAATATTATACCTTTAAATGATATCCATTTGGAACATTCATTTGAATCGGGGCTATTCGGAGAAGCTTGCTGACTGGATGTTAGTTACCTGACGATGAGGAAGATGCGGTTGAGGTAGGACTTGATCTCGTTGACCGCCTGAGGCAGCAGCCGACGATTGGCTCCCACGCCCACGTAGGTCATCCTGTACACCGCCACCAGGGTCTCCAGCAGCCGGCCCAGCGAGTGGAGGGGGGTGTCACACGCCTGGAGGAAGCGGAGGGATATTACTGTTACTAGCTAAATTGATCATTTGAGCAAGAGAATGCAAGCTTTGTTTTATTTTGTGTATCCAGGAGTTTAGAGGTTGAAGAAGAAGACAGATCCTTCATTCAAGGAAAATCAGCAATTTCCTAATGTAATGAAATATATTCCATAAGCATTACACGTTTTATTGAAGTATATGGAAGTTAGTATCATAAGCAACATATTCCATTAGAAAGAAATGTGTTTGACGGATCAGTTTGCACACAGTTGAGCTCACCTTGATGAGGTAGAGTCGGATGGTGTGATATCTCTCCATGGTGATTGGTCCTTCGTGCTGCGGGATCACCTCCAGACTCTCCAGGGTCCTGCTGTGACTTCGAGACAGCGCTTCCGGACTGCAACAAACAAAAAAACATACATCACCCCCTGAAAAAAAACATTATTTTGACTGGTACAATGAAACTACCCTGTCAGGAGTGTGTGTGTACCTTTCCTGGATGAGTCTCCGGCTGGTAGTGAGGGCCACGGCGATGTTCTCCCAGGCCTTCCAGTTCTCTCCTTGGCCTGGGGTCTCACAGCCCAGCTCACTCCAGCACTCCTCGAACACCGCCTGCCACTTGTCCTCCGCGCACACACACAGACGCCCCAGCTTCCTGCCACACACACACACACACACACACACACACACACACACACACACACACACACACACACACACACACACACACACACACACACACACACACACACACACACACGTAAATTAAAGGTCACCTATTATGAAAAACTCCCTTTTCCATGTCTTCTGTAGATAGAAATGTGTCCACTGATCCATTTATATAAAAACCTGTCTGATAATGAGCTGATCAGATTTTGGCCACTTTGTGATGTCATAATGTTGTTTTGGCTTGTGTAACCATTAGCCAATCACCAACCAAGGTAACCCCCCCCCCCCACCTTATCACCTGAATCTCCTCCTAGAGCACCATTGTGTGTTTTTCAACCAATCACTTCTCAGAGGGGCGTGGCCAGCAGCAGATCATTAGCATTTAAAGCTACAGACACAGAATCAGCACTTTTGGAACAGGGCTGAAACAGAGGGGATTATGGGATGCTACAAGGATCTGTTTCAGCCAAACACTTCAGAGACATGTTCTGTATATACATATGAGACCTATAATATATTGTTTAAAACAGTATAATAAGGGATCATGATTACATGTCATTTTTCTGCACATTCTAGATTCTGTGTGAGCTTACATGTCGCGGGTCTTGTCCTTGTCCGTGTCGAACAGGTGAGGTTTGAAGTAGGAGCCCGTCACTTTGAGGCCGGAGCCCCATTCCCCGTTAAAGGAGCCCTCCAGGTAGTCAGCGTTTGGCATGGTGAGCACACCCTGAGAGGAGAGACAATTAGAACATTGAACTACCCTGATACACATTACTACTATTTCTATATGTTTTTGGTTACTTCAATTGTGTTATTGCGCTGCTATTTCTTTGAATTATTTGTATTATTAACTTGGGATCCAAAATGTTTTTAAGAAAAGGTGATTTTTTTTTTTTTAAACATGCTAATGGTTAAATATACACACTATATTGACATTGTGTTCATTTGTCACCTTTCCGTTGAGGGTCCAGTCATCAGAGAATTCCCCCTCGTATGTGGTGTCGTCCTCGGACAGCAGGATCCCGGTGCCCTAAAACACAAAAAACATGAGGAATTAAAATATATATATATAATAGCTACATTAATGTTGGTCTCTTAAACTGCCAAGCACAAAATGTGACTGAAATCACAGAGGAGCTCACCATCATCTTGTTTTCTTTGAAGGCTCCTTCGTAGTAAAGTCCAAACTGAGTGACCACGACCCCGTTGCCCTGCCGCTGGTGATCCTGCCACATGCCCATGTACTTCTCTCCTCTGGAAAAAAAACACACAAATGTAAAAAAAACAAGATGAAGCTGAACATCTTAAATTAAACACAGTTTTAAAAGCTTGTCAGACTGCATTCAGGTCATTTATCATAACATGAAACGGAGTGACGAGCGTACTTTGTGATATCATCGAAGACTCCGTATCCGGTCTTCTTGTCCTGCAGCCACTGTCCGATGAAGACGCTGGGGGAGGAGGTGTTGAGCTTCCCGCTGCGCAGCATGCCGTGTCCGTGTCGCATGCTGTCCTGGAAGCAGCCGTCGTAGACCTCGCCGCTGGCATAGCTGCTAACACAGGGGGGGGGACGTTTATTCTCTTATGTTTGTTAAGAGTTTCTACCTCACCATTTCCAGGCACACTCACCTGTATGTCCCGAGGCCGTGCATCTTGCCGTCTTTCCAGTGACCTTGGTATTGATCGTTCTTGTTGAGCGTCTTGTTGGTAGCCACAAATTCACCAAAGCTACAAAACAAAACACAAATAGGCATTAGGAAACAGGAGCTACAAAGCACCTAGCTCATGTAAGAAGGAGACACACACATTATGCACTCACCCATCTTCCAGTCCGTTCTTAAACGTCCCTGTGTAAATTCTCCCATCAGGCCACTTTAACACGCCACTGAAAAACATCCAAATCATTACGACACATCAAGGTCACTAATCGTCCCTTGAGAAGCTGCAGGTTTTTTTGCTGCATTTTACGGTCAGAAGACAAGATCAATTCTATTTGTTAGCTCATGAGACAAAAATGTCCCTTTGCTAAAACAGCTATGAAATGACCATATAAATAATCATATTATCCATGTGTTTAATCATTTAAAAACCGAAATGAGTCCTGATGATCAACACCAAATATCCATTCATATCCTGATTTATTTTCCCTTCAACTGTCAGCAATATCCCAACAAAAAAACACAAACATAGCATGTACTGTGAGGTAAAAGGTACAAATTGAAGCCATGGCTTTTGAAGCATGATATAATCAAATGCATGATTTTCTGCTGTAATGTCCGTGGGATAAAAAAAAACTTGTTTTAATGGGTTAGACATTGCTGCAAAAGATTTTATACTTTTTAGGCACTGAGGTTTAACTTCCAAAAAACCTCACTTTAATGTATTTCATATGCATTACAACAGCCAATACTATGAACAACTTAAAAGCTAGAAATGTTTCCAGTTAGGCACAAGGATACAAATATTTGACCCATATGCAGACGTGTAGTGTCCCACCTGCCGTTGGGCTTCCCTGAGAGCCAGTGCCCTTCATACTTGGCCTCTTTCAGCCGCCCCTCCTTATAGAAGGTGTAGGAGGCGGTCCTAGAGACGGGGGGCTCCGTCTTCTGACTGGACCCGGAGCCGATGGAGACGGTGTCCTGCCCCGCCCCGCCCAGCGCCTGCTCCACCGCCTGGTTGATGGAGCGGAGCCACTTGGCCTGGGAACGGATATAGCACAGTTTTTAAAGGAGTGGTTCAGGTTATATGGAGAATGGAGACACGTAGAAATCATTTTACAATAACCAAAAGAGAGAGTCTGTAAATCAGTAGCTTTAAAGGACTCACCTTCTCCGTGGGAGAGGACGCGAGCAGGGCAAACGTCTCCTCTGGTGTGATCAACTTTAACCCATACCTAGACACACACACACACACACACACACACACACACACACACACACACACACACACACACACACACACACACACACACACACACAGTTTTAAGATTTGGTATTCCTGATGGTATTTGTCAGTACAACACAAAAAAACAATAATCTATTAAATCAGACTCACGGGCCGCTGTTCTCCTCTGGGATGGGCTCCACCCAAAGTGTGGCCAAGGGGAAGACATGATGGGTGGAGAACTGGAGGAGGCGTGGAGAATGAGGAAAGAGGGGAGAGGTGTTAAGAAAGAGAAATAAACATCATTAATAATTGTATTTAATTGTACCACATTGAAAGACATACATGTAAAAGGTGTGTATTGACCTTACACACACCGAGCAGTTAACTACAGCCTTCTCCATAAGCATGTCATAATTGAGAGGAAAACATGTCTAAGGAAATTGAATGAAATATATTTAAATGGAGCAAATGAAATACCTCTTCTACCTAAAGAACATTTACCAGAAATAACATAAAATGAATAATAGTTAGTATTTCATTTGAATACCTTGGAGACCAAGGGAAGACAGATTTAACTGGGAAGAAAAAAGTATTTAGAATGAAAAGAAAAGTAAAAAGTACTATAAACAAAAAGTAAGGAATTAATGTCATACAATAAATAATAAAAAAACCACCTAATTATACTTTTGGAGAATAACATCATATATTTGAAGCATCCTGTTTAAGATGAACCTAAGTGATGTCAGGGCCATGCAAGACAACATGTGCAGTATAATGCATTCATGCAACTCTTTCACTGCAACACCATCACAACACATCACAGCCACTTCTTCCTCAGCTTCAACTTTACAACCTGCTTCAGGAATTTGAAGTTAACATTTTGGTTTTCACCTTCAGAGGATTTCCTTTTTACAGACGTTCCTTTAGTCACACAATGAGTCACACAGTCAAAAGGTATTGGGACAACCACAGGAGGGGAAGACAAAGAGGGGGGGATGCAAAGGGGAAGAGAGAAACAGGGAGAAGAGGGAAGGAAAGTGCTTTGGAGAAATGAACCAGTAACTGCAGGTCAAGCGTTATATAACAGCAGTAAAACAGGAATGTAGTTTAAGATTCCAAGCTGGATTGGTAGCAACGAGGAAACAGAATGTATGAGAATACAACTAAAAGCTTTTGTTCATTTGTCCATGCAGGTGGAGAGCAGACGGAGGAGGAAGGTGGGGATAGGGCTGCGTATCAGCGGACATTTTGAATCAGCACTCTGGTTGTTATCATATGGCATGAGAGCACTGGATTCAGGATATCCTTTACAATTATTATTCCTGAAACAATGCGACAACGTTTCTCAATTTGTAAGTTATTTCATTTGATGGATAAGCCAGAAAACAAACAACTTAATGTTCTAAATATAGATTTTCCAGAGTATGTAATATAACAGCAGTTAATGTATGGACATTCAAAGTAAACTGGGGATACACATAAAGTTTCAAACATCTATCTAACGACACTTGTGTCCAATTATTTTAAACAAAGAGATGTGCTTTAGTGATGGTTCAGATATTTGGTGCCAAATTAACGCTCAGATGTTTTATGTGTGTGTGTTTGTCATGTGTTTTAGGGCTCCTATGACACAGAGCCCTGAGCCCTTCACACACACACAGAAGAAAAGGGTACAGAGGGGGGGGG